AATAATGTGTATTATTTTGTAATATATTCAAGAGTGATATTATTTAATAATTATATTTTATTTCTTATTCGAAACAATTTTTTAATAATTATTGATAATTCTAATTATTTAATACTTTTTTTATTTTGTTATACTTTTATAAATTTATTTTTTTAGATCTTTGTTAATTTATTTTTTATAATAACGATTTCTGTTAGGTTAGAGATAAGATTTTTATTTAATAAAGATTTCAAGATTATCGTTTTTTGATAGATTTTATTATTTTTGTAATCTAATAGTTTGTTTAAAGTATTTATTTTTGTATTATCTTTTCTTTTGATATATTTGATTATTAGATTAAATTTTGTTAGTTTCTTAATTTATCTAATTAATCTATGATTATTCAAGACTTTAATGATGATAAAGGTTCGAAGATTCATATGATTAGTATAAATGATTATTGGGAATTTAGTTTTTTGAAGATAGATCTTTTAATGTTTTAATATTTTTATGATAATTATAAATTCTTTTTTATAAATATTATAATTTTGTTTTATTTTATTTATTTTGTTTGAGTAATAAATGATAAGATATAGTTTTCTATTATTGTTTCTTTATAAATAGATTTCTGTTATATAGATATTAAAGATATTTGTTTCGATGATACTTTTTCGATTATTATAATAATTATAAAGGATAGATTCCCTTATAAATCTGTTTTTGATTTTTTGAAAAGCCTATTTTGTTTTTTTATTTTATATAAAAGTTATTCCTTTTTTGATTATTTTGATAAAAGGTTTTATTATTTTCAAGAAGTCTTTTATAAATATTCGATAGAAATTGATGAATCCTAATATAGATTATATATTTTTGATGTTTTTGAATCTTTTCTAGTTTTTTATTTTCTTTATTTTCTTAGAATTTATATTCATTTATTTTGATTAAATGATATATCTTAGAAATGTTATCTTTTGTATTCCAAATTTATATTTCGATAATTTGAGTTTTGAATTTATTCTTTTGAATATTTCGAGTACTTTTAATATATGTTTTTTGTATTCTTTCTTTTTTTGAAAGAAGATTAGGATATTATTTAGATAATAGATTATAAATAAATTGAATTTCTTGAGTATTTTGTTGTTTTGTTATTAATATATAATTGATGTATTGATTAATCCGAATAGTATAATTGTATATTCTTATAAATCTAATGATAGAATAAAGATTATTTTTTATTTGTAATCCTTTTTTATCTATATCAGATTGAAAGTATTTCTTTGATTTAATTTTGTATAAATCATAGTTCTATTCAATTTATTTCTGAGTTTTTAGGTTTTTGGTATTGAGTATACATTTCTAATTGTTCTATTGTTAATTCGATGATAATCTTTGCAAGGTTGATTATCTGAGTTGTTGTAACGATCTAGTCGAGGCAGCGGCTGCCTCAGGTTTTCGTATGGTTAGTAGTTGTAGATTAAGGCTAATAATCATTAGTTATTCACTCGAAGATGAATACATTACTAGATCAATTGGAATATAGATAAACTAATTGATAACTAAGTTGAGTATAAAGCTTCTAAACTATAAAACTATTCTGACTATATACTAATCCATTTTGGGAGCCTTCAAAAGCCTACGCTTCTGAGAACTCCAAGAAGCCTACAAGAGCCCACACTCCTGAAGGCTCCATCATATGACTAGGATCAGATTATATATCCGAACTTGCTGAAGGTAAAGAGACTATACGAAACGATTGCTATACAAATTTGTATACAAATTGCTTTACTTTTCAACAAGATCAAAGCTCATAGAGATAGATTAACTGTTACCTCGTGACACTCTATAAAATGATTTCGTAATAATTGTTTTTTTTAAATATTAATAATATATTGAATATATAAAGGGATTTGGATTTCCTAATTCATTTTTTTTTTTCAATTTTGATTTTATATTCTTTTTATATTTGTATAATATTAGAATTGTATAATCTTAACTTTTTAGTAAAGAATATAAATCCCTTTTTGAAGTTGATTTTATAATTCTAAAATTTATATTCTGATAAGACTTTCAAATCTTGAAGGTCTTTGAAGAGTTTGATGAATTTTCTATATTATATTAAAATTTCTTTTTTATTGATTTTATTGATTAATGAAGGATTTGTTGTTATTATAATATAATATTCGATTTTTTGGGAAATCTATTTCTTTGGATTATATAATCATTTGCTATTGTAATTGTAACGATTGAATGTTAAAATATTTTTTATTCAATTGATATTTGGATTATGTTTTTTAATTTATAAAATATCAAAAACAATTGTATATTTGTTTAATGATATTAAATTTATTTTGATTTATTTAATATATTTGTTTGATATAATTATTTTGATAGTATTGATTTCTTTATATATTTAATTATCAATTTTAGTTTTTTTTTCTTCTAATAGTATTAATTGGTAAGGGTTCTGTTTTAATTTTATAAGAATTCTATTTTCTTTTATGAAATTGGGATCTATGAATATATTTATAATTTCAAAGTTAATCAAGATATTGATTTGTTGATTTTCTAATTTGATTTTTATAATTAATTATTTGATTTCTGTAATATTATTTAGTTTTAATAATAATAATTTGATAATTTGTTTTTTGATAAAGAGATTCAATTATTCATATTAATATTTATTTATATTTAATAATCGATAGGATATGATAAATAATAATTCTATTAATCTTATTTGGAAGTTTCGATAATAATTTTGATTTAATATTTCTTTATTATTTTTGTTGATCTTTTGTTAGATATAACAAATCCTAATTTGTAATAGAATCTTTTATATATTCTTAATTTCTAGATTATATTTATTATATTCTTATATTTCATTGAAGGATAAAGAATCTATATTTATAATATACTTTTTGGTATCATTTGTTTTAGTATTTTCTTTAAATATTATATAATAAATATTATTATATATTATTATATAAAGTACTAACAAAATAAAATAATTATAAATTTTGTATTTCTCAATAAAATCAGGTTTCTTTTTTTTATAATAATACTATATCCGTTTTTTATTTAAGTAATTAATTAGATATTATAACTCATTTTTTTGAAGTAAATGATAGAATTCAATTAATTATTGATCCTTTTCGAGTTTTTTAGTTAATTCTTTGTTTTTTGATTTGAGGTTTTCTAAAGGTTCTTTTTTGTAATTGATACTATTTTCAATATTAATTTTAGGGTTTTGATTATTGATATTTAATTTCTTTAATTATTTAGGATTAAATTGAAATAAATCTTTTTTCAATAATCTCATTTCTTTTGAATTTTTTTCTAAAATCCTTATTTCTTAAAAACCTTGTTTTTGTTTTCAAATCTTATTTATTTTCTATTCTTTATAATAAATAATTTCTTCTTTTAAAAACAATCTTGAGATATATATCTACTTTTTCTACAAATAAAATATAAATTATTCTTTCTATATTTTTTCTTTTTGTCAATATTTAAATTGTTTAGTTTTATATAATATCATTCGGTATTATCCAATTTTATTGGATTATTAGTATTGTAATATTTATTCTAACAATAAGGTTTTTAGAACTTTTTATTTTCCTAAATGATTCCTTTCTTTTTTATTTATCATTTATAGAATCAATTATCAATAAGAATAAAGGTTTCGATTAATTCGAAAAGATTAAATAGTTTCAGAGTTTTCATTAGTTTGTTTTTGATGATGTCTTTCAATCCTTTATAAAATTGCGATTTTAGATAATCATCATCTCAGATAATATATCTAATGTATTATTGAAACTTAGCAATATAAACTATGATTGATTCGATTTGTTTGAATTGTTGTAATGCTTTTTCAGTTATATAATTGAAATCTACTTCTCCGAATATCCTATCGAATCCTTGTCTGAACGATTTATAGTTAAGGAATAAACAGTAAATCTCAGATTTCATACTTTCGTTTAGTTAATTATTGATAATCTTGATTATTAAATTATTAAAGAATAATTCAATCCAATTGAATACAATTCCTTAGAAAAAGGAAATCAATTACAAGATCCTTTATATAAAAATCAAGAAAAGTTGTTTATTAAAAGTATAATAAAGATTAATTTGTATAACAAAAGCTTAATACTTATTATAATCTTTATAGAATAAATCAAAGATAGATATCTAAATTATTTGTTTGTATTTTATAATAATAACGATTTGAACAAAAACCCCGATTAAATTAAATAGAAACAATTCGATAGATTACTAATTAGAAGTTATTGTATTATATATAACTTAATTGTAACAATATTCAAAATATAATGATTTGATCGAGGTAATAGCTGCTTTAAGTTTTCGTATAATTGGTAATTGTAGATTAAGGTTAATAATTATTAATTATTTATTCGAAAATAAATATATTATTAAATCAATTAGAATATAGATAAACTAATTGATAATTAAATTGAATATAAAACTTCTAAATTATGAAACTATTCTGATTATATACTAATTTATTTTGGGAATCTTTAGAAGTTTATATTCCTAAGGGCTTCAAAAAGCCTATAAGAGTCTATACTTCTGAAGGTTTCATTATATAATTAGGATCAGATTATATATCCGAGTTTGCTAAAGGTGGGGAGACCATACAAAGCAGTTACCATACAAATTTGTATACAAGTTGCTTTGCTTTTCAACAAGGTCAAAGCTCATAGAGACAGGTTGACTGTTACCTCGTGACACTCTATAAAATGATTTCGTGACACCGCTGCCTCGATCAGATCGTTACAGTCAGAATAATAAAGTAGAGGTTTTATTGCTTTTTCTATTTTATTATTTCAAAGGATTCTTTGAAGAAAACCTTTATATTTATAATATTTAATAAAATTCTAATATATTCTATGATTATTAATAAGATCAATTTGAATCGAATCTTATAGAATCATTTCATATAATAAATAAGAAATTCTATATACTTTTATTTTGTTCTATTTTCTTATAAATCAATCTGATATAAATTATAATCAAATTTTCATATAATAATAAAACTTAATAATATATATAAATGTTATTAATATATCACGTGCTCACCCGATCATTGGTTGGGCTAATATTATTAAGTGATTTAATAACTTATTAGGAAATCTCACAGCCAGCTGCTGCCATTCTGCGAGGTCACAAAACTCTTGCTTGCTCATGTCGAGAACGACTGTTGTATCCTTGTGGATGTATATTGGCTCATCGGAGAAAGATGGCAGCATAATTGGTAAGTGCTTCGAATATATATCGCGAAATAATTTCGAGACAGATAAAACCCGTGTGTGGTGTGTTTGTCCTTTCTCTTTGAGGTACATGAGATAGTGGGGAGCTCGACAAATTTCAAACCTGCGCCAAGCATCGGTCTGGCATGCACAGTTCGATTACCCTCAATTGAATCTCTGGCGGGAGCTTATAGAAGTGGTTTGCACCAGTGAGGTCCATAACCTTGTCGTTAGCACTATGGAATGCATCATGGGGTCCTCGAATGTTTATAGCAGCTGGGTGGAAGGTATTGCAGGCTACATTGCCCGATTTCGTATGTTCCTCTTGAGTCGAAAGTTTCTCAATTCCGGCTGTACTTGGGGAGGCGGGAAGCGATGCGTCGTTAAACAAGGGCTCGGCTTCATCGCTGGAATAATCCATAAGTGCTTCTTGTAGTTATAATTAGCAATTTGAAGCATAAGTACCTTCAATGGATTATTCTTACCGTCGAAATTCATCTTGCCATTGACCTCAATCAGGGTAACTGGATTAAATAGGATTCACATTACAATGACTAAAGCGTTAAGTTCTTCGACGAGCTCGAAGTCAACACGAAGCTCTAGCTTACTAATGCTACCTAGCGGAGACACATCCGCTAGTTAGAATACTGAGCATACCAACACTATTTTAGGTATCATAGGTAGCTTGGCTCATTTATCCAAAGATGGAATTTCTGTATCTCAAAATTTTATGAATATTGGTGCTATGAGGAGGGAGGGAGGTGAGTAGAAAGAAGGCTTCTTCAAGAAGACCAAAAAATATTGTGCGATTCGTTGCGGAACCTTCCTCCAAGGACTGGAAGATGAATCCTACATTCGATCAGAGGTAAACTAATTAGATAGGGAAACTTGCATTGAACATTTTTTCCGCAGGGCTACATTGTTATATGGCTGTCTAAGTGCTAAGCGAGGCGAAAGCGAGGATCTTAAAGTGATGAAGGGGTCAAGCTGTTCATAGTACTTGCACTTTCTGATATTTTCCTGATAAGTTCTCCTTTATTGTAGCAAGTCAGATATGCGAATTTCGCTAGAGATGTATGGGAGGATAGCAACGGGTGTGTGCATAGCTCTACAAAGCTCGAGCTTGTGGATACATAGATTACGAAAGCATATTAGCAAGACTGTTCTTATTATTTGCTACCACATGGTGGAGTTGAGCAATTTTGAAGCATGTGAAACGTTCAAGTGTGTGATTTTCGAGGTCCTAATAGATACACATACATATATATATTGATATAGAACTGTTAGATAAGCTTGAGGCCAATAGTACAGCCTTATATATTACAGATATCGTTTGGAATAACTAGCCATCATCGATAAGTGTTAACCATCAAGAAGGAAGCCATCGGCCCCCCAGTAGAGCTTTTTATATGTGCCCAAATGTTGCCCTGCCGGATAGTCTTTGGACTTATCTCGAGCTTTATAGCTTTCAGGGTGGTCCCTCGCCCAGGCTGCCTCGCCATAGTACATCCACTGACGCTCAAGACCTTCCCAATCATCAGTGAAACATGAAGGTGCAGTTTTTCGCGTAAGTGCAAAATCGATTTCGGGTGGGGTCCATGTAGTGTAATCGGGAGCTCCAGGGTATCTTGATCTTGAAATACATTTTAGTTGATCAAATTCTTTCAGCATCCAATCCATTCTAAAACTGAAATCTTCGCCACCAGGCCCCCACCAGTAGGCATTTTCGACCTTGTCAAACTGTATTAATGCTACTCCACAATTTCCATCGCCACCGTATCTGCTCTCATCATCAAGACATGTGTTAGGTTTGTATGATCCAGGCTTTTCTCCAGTTGCGTCATGGAAATTGCTATAGCATCTCCACATATCAGGCTTTTCGGGTAAAGAGTTCCAAACATCAGTTTCCTCATAGTTATTGTATAATAACCACTGTGAGAATTTTTCCTTCTCATACTTCACGAGATCATCGTAGCCAGGTTGTATGTGGGGTTGAAGTACTCTCCATTCATCCATAATATAGCCAGGATCATGAGACCTGAATTCACTGCCATCCCTCCAAGCTCCCACAGTCCGAGCAAACGTCAGTTTTTGGAGCCCCGGTAATCGTGAAATCATAGCAGCTGGGGTGCATTCTTTTTTGACTGTGCACATGAAGATGCGTGATGTATGCCAGCAATCATAATCAATAGCAAGATATCTCAGTTTCTCGCGGCAATTTCGCAGTTCCAATGCGCGAAGGAATCCGGTATTGTGCAAATGCCCGACTCTGCTGCCAATGAATATGATGTCTTTCTTCCAGTCTACCCAGTGGTCAAAACATCTTGATCTTCTGTTCAAGGCAACTTTCCTGGATTCTTGGTTCACTCGCGCGAGGGGAGGCTCGAAGCATCTCTTTTTGCAACGGCATGGTATCGCATACCATTCATAAGAAGTAGGACGACCAGTATTATCAAAATGGTTTGGTATGTTGCACACTTCGATGACGTGGCCCGGTTGAGAGTCTTCAGCAAAATTCCAGATCATAGTCCTCAACTCGGTGGGAAGACAGGAAAAGGAATGGAAAGTCGACGGTGGTTGAGACTCAAGCTCGTGGTCTTTCCTCGCCATCTGCCTGGTTAAAACCATGATGGTTATAATAATATACTTGATGAGAATTGAAGAAATCAAAAGAACTATATGATTGAGGATTGCGACTGTGATTTCATACAAGTCTAATACCGTAGCGTTAACAAAGAGAAGATGTTGTTAGTTACTATGTCATCATTTAGTCAGCATATCTAAAGCCTCACTCAATCTTGTCAACCAATAAAAACTCTGCCCGCGATGCTAATTGAAGAAAGTTATATTCATTGTCTTATAATAACTAAATCATTATCCGATTAATCTTCTCCAAAACTCATCATATCAAATTCTTCTTCAAGCACCTTACATAATTCACCATCCGTGACCATGGTGTCTGTGACTTGAGCTCCTTTAAACAAACCATTACACTGTGTAAAACCAGCCCACATTCGTGATGATATTCCGTTTAGAAAAGACTTCGTTGCACCCACGTTCTTCGAGAACCAACTTTCCCCTCTCATTCACTAGTTCAGGCGGTAAATCCTTTAGCATGTCTGGCTCAATAGGAGGCACAAACTGAGTCCAGTCAGGTCCGACAACAGGCGTATATGGTGGCCATGGGTCGCCTTCTTTTTGTCGTCGAATGTTTTGCCCATTTCGACGCATTCCTAAGGCTAATCTCCAGTTGAAAGCAGTAACCAATTCTTCCACTATGCATGCGAGGATTGCGTGGCGGATCGGATCGGGATATTTTGGGTCTGGTATCAAGCAGAGAGTCCATTTTTTCTCCCAATTTCGCCAAAAATATTCAGTTTCGCTGCCCAATGGTCCATAATCCCCCATCATCATGACTTCGCACATTCGATAAATAGATCGGGGGGTGTATCGCGTGCATGCCAGACGGGGATACTGCGCAAATTGGTTAGATGTTTATTGCGAGTGTAGTATAATTTCTCGTTCTGCGCGATGACTGAAGGGGCAACGGGTTCGGGTACAGGGAAGTTCCACGATGGAAATGGTATGAAAAGTCGAAGGAGCGTTAAGTACGGATGCTGATAAATACGAAGACGGGTGATGCTTCCACGAAGGCCAAGGGGGGTTCTAAACCATCTTTTGAAATAATACTTTCTCCGCATCCACCACGTAATTTTGTGCGAGGACGACTTCGTGGTGGATCCATCACAAGGTTGATTGTTGTGAAGCTTTTCGAATATTCCGAAGCGTGGTTGGTGTGTTGTTGGGATGAATGCCGGCTTATATAATTGAAGTGACATATTTTACGTGCCTCGATTGAGGCATACAGTTATATGTGCCTGGCATAGGTCGAAAATCAATAATTTATCTATTTGAAATTATTTCAACTTTAATTAATTTATTATTTTAGTATTATTGATATCGGTGATTTAATTTAGATGCTGATCATTGACGAGGTGTAATTTAATTATTGTTTTTAGAGGGTTTAATCGTCTACGAATAGGAACTTATGATTCCTAGGATAAGTATTCTAGGTAATTATATTAGAATAGAACAAATGTTTTAATTAATCGATTGTAATGAGATAATCATTTTAAAGGATATCATATCTTAAAATAGATATTTCTAAAGGAAAACTTTTAGAATAAGTATTTCAGAAAAGGAAAAGTCTTAAAATTGATTATATGATGAGAAGTTCTAGAAGCTTAAAAAGTTTTTAAAACTCTAAAAGCTTTTGAAAGTTTTTAAACTTTATAAAGCTCCTTTTCATTTATTAATATATAATCAAAATAGTTTTATAATTTAAAAATTTCATACTCAATTTAGTTATCAATTTATTTATATTTTATTTGATCTAATAACGAATTCATTTTCAAATGGATAACCAATGATTAATAACCTTAATCTACAACTACTAATTATATAAACCTCAGACAGCCGCTGCCTCGATTAGATCATTACACTACAAATCAATAAAAGAAATAAAAAATTAAATTAAATTATTGAAGTTTATCTTCGATATTATATAAATTATCAATAAAATAATTGAGTAGAACTTTTACCTTTAATATAATTCATATATAATAATTCAACTTTGAAAGCAATACAAATCACTTTAAATTATATCAATTATTATCAACTTATCAATATTATAACCTTGCTGTACACGGGGTTTATCTGGTGGGTGATGAAAAATGAGAAACTAACTTAAATGAGTCACGATCCTAACAATCTAATTGGTCTAAAATACCCCGGTAAATAATCTAACAAAAGGTTTGGTATAAGCCTTACAACCTCAGACAAATCTGACTTGAAGCTTTTTTCAATTCAACTCAATTGAAATCATTCAACTTTAAAATCATTTAACTCATTCAATTCAACTTTATTTATTCAATTCAACTCTATTCATTCAATTCATCTTATTCAATTCAAAATAATAAATAATAATGATAATAATAATAATAATAAATATAATAAATATTATAATGATTATAATTAGTACTTTTAAATAAAAAATTTAAATTTTTAATTATCAAAAACAAGTTGATATTCTATCTGCATTCTAATATCTATTCAATATTTAAATTTATTATAAACTTTTTAAAAATTAAATTTTCATTAGACTTTCTCGAAAAGCTAGGTGTCCGGGGGGCGTAGGCCTTTGATATTTAATTATAAACTATTCAAGGATCTAAATCATTTTTATATAATATAGATTATATCTCTTATAATAATAATTATTATTTAAAAAGATTGAATCTTGATTATTTTAATATAATTTTATTTAATATATAATAAACAATTTTTAAAACTTTTAAAATTATATATATTTATATTTTTATTTAATTATAATATATTCAATACTCGATGATTGATTAATATTTAAAATTCCTTTTATTATAATTATATAAATAATCGACTATAATCCGGATGTAGGTGATTCGTAACAGTATTTTTAAATAGAATAAAAAGAAAAAAAGAGGTTTTATTTCATTTATCTACTTGCTGGATATTACAAGTGGAATTGTTTATTTGTTAGATATCTTGAATAGTATCCTATATAAACAAAGAATAAATAGCCTTATTATAAATAACTACAAAATGTAGCTGAAAGAATTGTCAATGTTAGGCTCGAGCATGGACAGCATTTACAACGCTTAAGATCAGCATCTGGTTTGGCATGTCGACATGAGGGCGGCTTATTTTCTGGATAGAAAGCTTGTTGAAAGACAGTGTCCTCGAATTCCGGATCCAGTTTTTGGTGATCATACGATATTTGAATGGTATCCTGTGGCTTTGAAGATTCCCCGCTAGATTTTGAGTGCGATACCAACATAAAGATATATTTGGATCTGGAAACGGGGCACAGAAAACTTTTGAAAAATAAGGCTTTGCTTTGAGTTTAGGGGTGGCAAACAGACGCTGATTTCGAAATAGTCGGAGATAAAATTACAGAGTTTAAGAATGACCCCAGTCCACCAGATCGCGAGCCAGATCATGAAGACATCACATTTGAATTATCAATACTCCCTGAGATTGTCGTCAACCCGGTGGAGCACTTTGTCAAAAAAGGTAATACGGCAGCGAAATTCGGAACCTTCTCGCTTGCCAGGGCGGCTCTTGTTCAGGTTTTCGAACTTACAACATATTATTCGTCTCTTAGGAAAATCGGCAAATGACGAATTGGTTTTTGAAAAATTCGACCCTTACTATATCTTATCTTTTATGTATCCTCTTGCACAGTACAAATCATGGATTCTACAAATTATCACCGGTCTCATGACTTTGCATTCCATGAGAATAGTGCACCGCCACTTGCGTATTGACCACCTCGTCTTCATCATTGACCTTAAAAGCCGATGGGGAAATCTATTTGCACCTGAGGTTTCAAAGAAAAACGTTCTCAACGCGGGCTGGAGCGACAAATCAAATATCTTTGATCTGGGTTATCTTATTGAAAGCATGGTAATGATCTTATTCCATATGCGGTTGAACAGGATGTTTCCTCAACCACTTAAACCAGTTGTGGAAACTTGTACTCGGATTCTACCTGGGGATCGTCCTTCTTTGACCGAGCTCTATTTTATGGTATTCAACATTAACGCATGAGGTTGATCGGTGCAAGCATCTAATGTATTGGAGCAAACAGAGAAATAATGGTAGCATTAGCAAATAACTATCACAACAAAGAACTCAACAAATCAACCAATATGCAGTTTGGCTAGTGATGCTTGAACTTTTCGTGGAGCACAAACAGAGCTCACCCACTTTCGGGAGTCGTCTCATTTGATTTACTGATACACGTCGCCATAAGTAAGTTTCCATTACGAATAAATTCCATTTCCACATGCTTTCAAGACTCTATAATGGTCCTCAAAGTTGAGACTCTCTCGATCACCCCACAAGTCGTCGGCGTGGTTATGCTCGCGCCGGAACAAATCCAACTTCAACTCCAGCAGCAACAACAACAATCCGGCCAAACACCCTGGCTCATGGATGATAACGCCCTGCTCGATCTCGATATGAATGCCGTGGATGGCAATGTAGATTGGCAGGGGTGGGAAGACCTTGTGTGGGATTTCCAGAATAGTGGGGAGGGATAGGTGCCGGTGGGGAGGATGCGAGGGCGAATGCGTTGGGTGGGGTGGGGATTTGGTGGTGATTCTCCTACTGCACTCTATTCTGCTGCTCTATTTTTTCCCTGATCGCTTCCCTTCATGCATTGGTGTGGAATCTTTTGCTTGGGAATTGGATATTGGGTATTGGATACTCTGCGAGAACACGAAAATATGGGATGGATTACATGAACATGATGTTTTTGACGCGGTTTACAAGCATGCTACGAACAATATGGATGGATATAATCGGAGAACTGGCGTTCTGTTTGTTTGTTCATAATGGCAGAGTATCATTCGCTGGGACACATCATGATTTCAGTTGTGTTGAATAGGATTGGATTTGGTTGGATACGATTGGATGGATATATGGGCGACTCGACTTTTGGAATTGATATATCCCCTCTGCTCTCTTTGCTCTGGTCTGCTGTTTTGCATCGGTTTTTGGTTGGTGGTCGACGTTCGTTCATGTGGCATAGGATAGGGTGTGGATTGGTGTGAGGTGTTTGAGAAGAGTGGGTCGATGGATATTTTTATGATAATGGGAATATGACGAAAAATGAAAAATCATAGTAGGAAGTGTGAAGTATATTTATCTTCTAAATTTACAACTACCGTGCATAAAGTACAAACATGGGCCATGTAACGTCGGGATACAAGAATCCCTCACAACCAACCCTCTTCCCCCCTCATAACCATCGTCGCCTCTCCCCTCCTGACCCCAACGACCGTAGAAGTGCTCTCTAACACCATACTCGTCGCCGGCGCAGTAATATTCCACGAATAAGTAGGCCCAACACATAGCGCCGTTCCCGGCACCAAAGACAATGTACAAGTATCACTAGCCAGTGACGGATTCACTAATCGGAATAAGCTCGCCTCGATCGAACTCTGCACGCAAATAGTCGTGCAGGTATCGGATGTGAGTACCACGTGCCATTTTCCACAGCTGAGTGTAGTGCCCGGAGCGATAGGAATATCTGCAGGTGGGGGAATGGAAACCCGTGTGTAGCCATCTGAGGGCTCGGTTGGGACAGGGGGGGCTGCTGTGCCTGTGAATGTGCCGCCTTGTGGGGAGACGCAGATGATTTTGCCGTAGAAATCGGTGGCCGGTTGGAGATTACTGCAGGTGGGGTTGAGCCAGCTGTTGTAGGAGAGGAGTTGGTCAAAATCGAGTCCGAGGGCCATTTCGATCGAGATACATGTGTCGGTGGGTTGCACGTAGTATGTTTGGCAGGTTATGGGGAGGCAGAGGCTAATTCCGGGGGAGATGGTGAGACAGGAGGGGAGGAGGGCTTGGTTTCCCATGTAGAGAGAGGCGGAGGAGACGGAGGTACTGTTGGCGATGGATTCGCAGGTGTCGGTTTGGAGGGTTGTGTAACGTTTGCCGGACACGCAGTAGGGGGTTGGAGTCGTAATCGTGGTTACGAGAGCGGGTGGGATGGTTGTTGGACCGATACTGCCGCATTGTGTGTAGACGTATTCGAGTTGCTCTTTGAAGAAGTCGTCGTAGATGGAGTATTGAGAGGATTGCATCATAGCGAGACGGCGAATGTGACATGTATGGCACAGTTCTTCTCGGGGCATAGATGTTATATTGGGGACATCTGTAAAGTTGAACATAATGTCTATGTCACAAGTCCCATTAGTTTTTGGACGAGACTAGAGGATTGTTTATACCATTGCAATACTGCTTTGTCCTGGGATCTTTAACGCAGGTCTCGTTGAATCCAGCCCACATATAACCACCAAATGCTGTAGGATTGCCATCATTAAGAGTCTTGCCTGCGCAGTTTGCAGTGACAGAGTCGAACCAATTTTTCAAGGAAGCTGAACAGTCGCTTGTACATATCATATCCGTCAAAGTGACATTTTCAAGAGATGTGCGATAACGTAGTTGCATGAATGTTTGCACATATTCAACGCAATTAAAGTTGGCGGAAAGAGCATTGATACACGCATCGCCGAGGGTAGAGTCGAGCCAGTCTGGCTCGTAGATGGCAAATTGAGCAGTGGTCAAGCCAAGCTGCAGCAAGAGGCATAGAGGGACTACACTTATAATACTGAGCGTTATACTGAGCGTCATACTGAGCGACGATGATGGGGAGAGCTCCTCAGGAAGAGACCTACGACGAACTTCTGGGGGATTGAAGATGAGCCCGTTCACTAAAACATTGAGGCACATTTCACTTGGACCATACTCGTGCTTGGTATTAGATGAAGGGTACGACTGCTTCGACACTAGTCTTGCAAATCGCGATCACTGACATGAATTCAAACACATTTACTGAAATGACCCGCGTCGGCAGCAGTCAGCGTCACATCAATATGGACATCTCACTCATCACTATCTGCCAAGCGTCAGAAGTAGCAGGTTCAAGACATTCTCCTGCGTCTCTGAGGCGTTCGAGATTAAGTGTTTCTTCTCAAAGTCGCTCGTGTATCAATTTATCACCACACTTTCAAAATAATATTGAAAAGTGGCATTAGCTTCGGCGGATAATATAAAAAATATCAAAGCCGTGTATTTCCGAGGCTGTTCCGGCAGGTTCAGGATGGTCGTATCGTAAAGATTTACAAATGATATTCGATATTGGGTCTTCTATTACATCTCCAAGATCCAATGCAACTCCTTGTGTCACGATAAGCCGGTCATAATTACAGCCCCTGTGTGAATATGCACGCGTCAAAATTGAGATAAATCATCTGTAAATCGATATAGAACATAAAGAATTGACAACGGATAATATGTTCGAAATTGTCATCAAACGCACTAGTCCTAAAATGACACTAGCACTTCGCAAAACACCTCTCTTCACGACATCATCTTTCTGTCGATCTTTACCACAATACAAATTCTGATATTGCTTTGTAGCACTGCTTCGGAAAGCTGCTTGGCATACAGTTTCTGATATTGTGATGGTGTGAAGATAGTAAGTCGACGTGGAAATGGGGTGAGAATTAAGATTTGACCACCCTTTGGAATGATGCGTTAATGTCGCACTTCCTCCAGATCATGGCCCTTGAGTAGGGGTACCATACGGCGGTAGTAACGATCGTAAAGAATGCATCCATATGTGTCACGCATCTGAAAGTGTAGTACAAGTTTGGCTGTTATGTTCCTCAGATATTTTCTGCGAAAGCTTGCGAATCTCAAGTGAAGAATCCGAATTTTTGTGCCTCTTGCTTGAAAGTGTTGATATAAATTTGTCATTCACAAAATCAGAATGCTGATTCGATCTCTCATCTCATGCGTTTTGCTATTTCACCATGCTACGGCTCAAACATGCAGTCCTTCCAGCCCGTGTGCAATAGGCTGCTGCAATAAGTTCGGGAATTGTGGCTTTGGGCCCGACTGTAAGTCTTCTGAGCCTTTGATGCTGTGCACTGCTTAACATGTGTTAGTTTGCGGTTCTGATTGTATATCGGATTGTAGTAGAAAGTCTGAATGCAACCCGGGGTTCGGTGCAGAATGGGCTTCAAGAGACAAGTGCCCGTTGAATGTTTGCTGCTCAAAGTACGGATTTTGTGGTGTACGTACGATCATGAGACGTCATATACATACTTGTGAAGCCATTAGACCACTGACATGCTAGGTCATAGACCACTAAAGACTTCTGTGGAAACAAGACAGTACCGCACAAGACATGCTCCAAGACCAATGGCAATGCCCGTATCATTGGTTACTATGAAAGCTGGGCGTCCAATCGTCCTTGTAATGTCTTTTGGCCAGAGCAGATTCCCATTGGGCTCTATACTCATATCAATTTCGCTTTTGCTACCATCAATCCTACCACTTTCAAGGTTGGACCAGACTCTGAAAATGATGTTGGTCTTTATAAGCGCCTCATGCTTTTAAAGAAGAAAGATCCTGGACTCAAGGTATTCATCGCCATTGGAGGTTGGACCTTTAATGACCCAGGCCCCACGGCGACGACTTTCTCTGACATTGCCGCTTCAGTTCCGCGACAAAAGACTTTCATCGAATCGCTCGTATCGTTCATGTCCACTTATGGATTTGATGGAGTCGATCTGGATTGGGAGTATCCAGCCGCGGACGATCGATCCGGTAGAGAGGTAGACTTCTCTAATTTTCCTAAATTCATGGATCGTTTGAAATTATCTATGGATTCGGCGAGTAAAGGGGTCTCCATCACACTTCCAGCTTCTTATTGGTACCTACAACATTTTGACTTGAAGGCTTTAGTAAGTTGTTGATGCTATCATCGTTTGCTCGTTATCTAACACTGCAAAATTAGGCTAAAAGTGTCAGTTGGTTTAATGTGATGTGAGCTTAAAGAACTTTTTAGCGGTCTTGTAATTCCACTGACACTCGTAGGTCGTACGATTTGCACGGAACATGGGACAGGGGCAACAAGTGGACTGGAGCCTTCCTAAACACGCATACCAATTTGACCGAGATAGATCTTGCAATGGATCTGATCTGGAGGAATAATATCAATCCGAATCAAGTAGTCTTGGGATTAGGTTTCTATGGTCGATCTTTCTCAGTCTCCAGCCCTTCCTGCATCGAGCCCGGATGTACGTATGAGTCCGGAGGTATAAAGGGCAAGTGCAGCAGAGAGGTTGGAATCTTATTGAATTCCGAAATCGATGATTTGGTGAAGGCAAACGGTGTCAAACCAAAGCTGTACGTAAAAGACGCCTCCAAAGTGGCATCATGGGGAAATCAATGGGTAGCATATGATGACGAAGAGACATTCAAGCTTAAATCCGAATACGCTCAAAGTTCGTGCCTTGGCGGTCTTATGGTCTGGGCGATCAGTCACGACACAAAAGATGCGAAGTATAACAAGGCCTTGGCAAAGGTTGCCAATCGGAAGATTTTGGCGTTACCGGTGACAGATGGCTCTGACGATCCTTACGAGTTTGTCGATTTCCCAAACGAGCAATGCAAATGGACAAATTGCAATGAGGATTGTCCCAGTGGATGGGTTCTCATGAAGAGGGAGGATGACGGTAAGCGAGGTACTGAATACATGTTCGATGAGAGCGGCTGCGGCGGGACTGGAGTTCACAGATTCTGTTGTCCCCCTGGAAATCTACCTACCTGCGGCTGGTATACACATCATAATGGAAAATGCGACAATACCTGCCCTTCAGGGACTGTCGAAGTGGGATCCAACGAGAAGTATTGCAGGCAGAAGTATCAAGCAGCGTGCTGTACCACTGGCTCCAAAAGCATGAAACTCTACACCAAATGTGAATGGGGCCAGTACCCTTTGTGTAATTATCAAGAAGGTTGTCCAGGAACCGACTCGGCGAAGGATACATTACTTGCCAGTTCGTCATCTGGAAGTGGGGGAGGAAGCTGCAATATGTGGAAAATGGGACCGCCGGGAAGTGGTGTTTTTGAAGTGCAAGCGCGCAAGTTTTGCTGTGATACTAGCGACCAAAAATCGACATTTTCGGACTGTGAGTGGTACAACAATATCGGCTTTGGGCCCAAGGGTGCTTCAGAGGGATGGTGCCGTAGCGGTTGTCCAAACGATAGAGTACGTGTGGCCATCGACTCATGGTCACAAGATTGTCTTGGGAAAGGATCTGGTGGAGGAAAAGCCAGATGCTGTATACCAAGTTACTCTGATCGAGTCGAAGTTGAGAATCCCAAGCTTGACGGATATAGATCTACGATGAAGTCCTATACCGACGATCCGACATGTGCAAATCCGGGCCCCATTCTTGGGAGAAGAAACCTCGATTTTAAGCAGGACAACGGATCGGCGATACCTGTATTTGATCTAGACACCTCTCTAGAGTTGACGAAACGGGCTGACAAGATCGACGTGACCAGGACTGAGAGCTTACTGCTAATTCTCATTACCAAAGTCGGCACGTCGGCCATGCTAGAGGCGACAGAAAAGATCTGGAATGACTACATGAGAGACAAATTCAGTCATTTAACATTTCCAAGTTTCCGTTCTTATGTTACCAATCTACCTGAATATGGTAGTGAGGGACCAATCCAAATATCTCACGCCGTGGTCTGCAATCCTCACTATTGGGATACTCGTGCGAGTGGTAGTAAGACTTTGAATTGCGTTGACGGTATTTGTACGACTGAGTCGTGCGATGGAATCGAAGAGCGAAACCCACGCGCCCTGTTTGACCTTGAGAAGAGGATTCGACCGGCTCGAGATTATCGCCCGACGCTCACAGGTGCAGCAGCAAACGGTGGTGGACAAATCACTATTACAATCACTTTACCGCGTTACAATGGCATTGAGGATTTGTCTGATGATGATGCCATGAACGATGAAGCGGTTGACTTTGCCGGAAGAGGAGATTGCACCAATGCTCAGATGGCTCATTTCTCCCTTCCAAGCGATCAACGCTATCAAATGGAGCATATCTTCGACGGCAACGTCATGGGGAGATTCATGGCCGATGCAGCAGCTGGTAATCTGAGAAGTGGAGCCGTAGCACGATCCGGACCAGTGTCCATCTCGTTCTTCCGCACAGCTCAAACAATGCCTCTCCTACCCAACGCGCCCCCTCTGCCAGGAGGCGCAAACTACATCCGCCTCTACGACAGAGTGATGGAAACCCTGGGTAGCGATACTAACACAGCGAACTTCGTCATCACCCACGCTGACATCAATTTCGTGAAAACTTATCTCATGCAAGGCCAGGACCCTATTGCACGAACTCGCTTTCCCACCCTCGCCAGCGACTTTGCACACCCTGAGTACGTTCTCCTACGACTGCGTGCGTCAATTGGTCTCATTAATTATCTCAACCACCAGGGAACACCAAACGTCAATGCTCGATTAACCAATATCGTTAACAATGCTGGAGCTCAGTGGCGGCATGGTCAAGCTACTTATAATGCAGCCAATCCCAATAACCAAGTCGCTATTGGGGATTTTTGGAGTGAGTGGGCCGAGGACTTTTTCGCTTGGTTGATACTGCATTCAAGGGGCTTTGTGCAGTATGGAATTGATCAGATGAGACGATATTGGGGAGTCGGAACGAATGAGATTACGAATGAGGTTTTGGAGATTTTGAGGAACTTGGAGGATCAGTTGAACCGTTTGAGTATTGATACGAGTGGATTTAATTAGACGTCTTTGACTCCCGATTTCTACTGTACTTTAACATTCGCATATGATTCAAGACATCTTCAGCAAGCAGGATTTTCTCAACCTCTGGTGAAATTCTTTCAGTGGATAGCTCTTGGATCACAATGACTTTTACTCCTGATATCTGATTAAACCCCAAATAAATACGCGCCGCGATGAAGTGATACATTTGCGATCCTCAGACGCCAAATCACATCGAAGAATCTCCGTCCCAAATCACCTGCACTCCACCAATCGTAGGTGGCGCAATCCTTTCCAACTCCCCAAACATTACCAATTTCTCCCACAACTCAAAAGTTTTCTCTATCTTTACCTTCAACCAGCCAAAATACCGTTGTGTGACTCGTGAGTTCCTGGGAACATAATCACTGGCTTTGTAGTCTGCTTGTACACACTTTATCCAATAATCGCCTTTCCCATCAACATCTGTTAAAACCTCTTGATCAACCAGTAGGAAGCATCCTCTTCCGTTCTGAGAACCTCCTTCTTGGTGGGTCTTGCGCAAGTCATCCATATCAAGGTCCTTCAGCGTTGAATTGACTTTTAGGTCGACGTTGAATAGAGACCACAGTAATTGCGCCTCCTCATTGTTTGAGCCAGAAATGCCCTCCGGACTCGTCATAATCGCATTATAGACCGAGGATGTAATAGCATCGATGAGCATATCCCATCTTTGATCGTCTTGCGAACCGGTATAGGCAGTGCGGTAGATTGTAAAACCCCAAGTCTCGTGACGTACTTCCTGGTTATCGGAGACTCGCACAAGGTCTTGGAGGAGGTTGGCAAAGTCTGACATCTTTCGCCTGTTCGTGCTGGGATAGTATTGATTGATGATATGATGCTGTGGTCATGTAAGCGCTATTGACTTGGCAAGTGGGTGGAGTGATGAGCGCATTCGAGAAGCTTACTGATGCTTAAGGAGGTAGAATTAATGCGGGGGATGGCTACTCGGTCTATGGTTGCGCGGATGAGACTGCAATTTTACGTGAAGAAGACTTTAGGCAAAAGAGTGTAAGATTGGGTTTGAGCAAGAAGGTAATATTTATGTTACTGGTAGGTCAATACAGGAGGTGCTGAGGAGGCACGGCAAATGTAAAGAGACGTGGTGTGGTGGTATCGTATCAAGGTGAATCTGCGGGGTCCGAGGCGACGGCAAGGCAAGGTACCAAGCCAAGGCCGCATGTAATCGGCGATGATTTTCACACCACAAATCGGGAGCAAATTCGAAACCCTTCGTTTGAGTGCGCCAATAAAAAGACTTGCACCAAGGCGCATGGAAGTCTCCCACTTGAAGAAGTCTCCCTGATGTGAGTGAGCGGCGTTGAGCTTGAAATGACGCCGTAGGTGGTGGAACGTCAAGCTTATCACAAAAAACTATTCAGAATTGAAGATATTTGATAACCGACATCCTTACGTCTTGCACGACCTCACATCTTGTACATTTTTCATTTATAATTACAATCATTTCAAAATTTAATAATAATTCGAATTTATAAAATAGAATATTATTGTATAAAATTATAAAAACTTTAGATTTGAAATCTTAATAGAATCTTGATTTATTATCAATTTTTTATATATTTATTTATTTTCTTTTTTTCTTTATTTGAATTATTAATCATTTTTATATTTGAGAATTTTATAATTTCTCTAAATTTTAAATCTATAATAAAAAAATATTTTGAAATCTTTAGAATTCTTTTAATAAAAGATATTAATAATTTTTTAAAAAAATTTGTTTCTTTTTTAGAATTTTATAAAATTTAATAATCTATCTTTTTTTGAATTTTTGGAATTTTTGTTTTTAAATTTTATTTTCATTTTTATTTTTCAACTTTTTTATTAATTCTTTTTGGTATTTTAGTTATTTTTTTTTTAAATAATTATCGATTTGTCAATACTATAAATTTATTATATATAAGGTTTACTCAGTGAGTGATAGAAAATGAGAAACTCGCTTAAGTGAGTCGCGATTCTGACAATCTAATTGGTCTAAAATACCCCGGTAAATAATCTAACAAAAGGTTTGGTATAAGCCTTACAACCTTAGATAAATCTGACTTGAAGCTTTTTTCAATTCAACTCAATTGAAATCATTCAACTATATTGAAATCATTCAACTTTATTCATTCAATTCATCAAAAACAAGTTAATATTCTGCCTGCACTATAATATATATATTCAATATTTGAATTTATTATAAAAATTTTTAAACTTAAATTTTCATTAAACTTTCTCGAAAAGCCAGGGGTCCGGGGGCGCAGGCCTCTGATAATTTGATTTATATAGTTAATGATTTTTCTCGAAGGAGGTTAATCGATAATAAATAATAATTATTATAATAATAATATTACTTATATTAATAGTGAAAGACTTAATCATATTTAAGCTCAATAGAGTAAAGTCGAACATAATCATAAATTGAAGTCAGAATAATAAAGTAGAGATTTTTATTGTTTTTTTTGTTTTGTTTCTCAAAGGATTCTTTGAAGAAAACCTTTATATTTATAATATTTAATAAGATTCTAGTATATTCTATGATTAATAATAAGATCAATTTGAATCAAATCTTATAGAATCATTTTATATAATAAAAAGAAATAATAACCAATAATATTCAATCTGATAAATAAGAAATTCCGTACACTTCTATTTCATTTTATTCTCTTATAAATCAATCTGATATGAATTATAATTGAATTTTCATATGATAATAAAATTAAATAATATATTTGAATATTATTAATATATCACATGATCATTAGATCATTGGTTCGGTTAATATTATTAAGTGATTTAATAACTTATTAGAAAATCTCACAATTTTTGAGGTTATAAAATATATATAAGATATAGAGTTGTACAAGATGTAGAGATGTCGGTTAGTGTAGGAATTGATTAATAAAATAATATCTTAAGAGCAAATAAAATGTTTTTTCTTAATATTAAACGATATATTATTGAACAATTAATATTTTATATTCAAGTTTGATCATAATTACCGTCAAATATTATAAGATCTGACATCTGGCCTCAATCTGAGACCATTCTTTGGCTTTTATGCGAGTTTTACAGCTTTACAGAGCTCTATGTCAATATTAGAGATATATCTAGGGATGGAATAATGGATGATATAAAGTAAGGGATGATTGCATTCAGTCTACAGTAATTATCATAGGAACCCTTTCACTACTTCTTGAGATATAAATATCAATGAGGTATTCCGTACCTCGGTAGTTCTTTGCCTAGAATACCCGACCTGATGCTATGCTGCAATCTGCGGGGTAACCGTCTAACATCTCTAGAACAAAGCCTTTGTCTCAACGATCTGATGAGCTTGACAGCCATCGATTATATTCGGGACGTCCAATTTGACAGTCAGGAAGGGTAATGCTTTCTCCTTCCGTCCTCAGACGACAAGCAGTATGGCAAGCATACTCGAAGTCGAGGAGCATTCCCAAAATTCTATATATTAATACCCATACTTGATATCGTGCTTTAACGTCGTGTTGATGCTGCAAGTAACTTACTGATAACTGCCGCCTACCTTCCGCCTGATTAGACATGCATTCTCCATCTCCCCTTAAGCTTTTATCTTGGCTTCTCCTCATTAAGGCTACATTTGCAATAACAAATCCTAAGCTCAACAAACATCCCCGACAAGATGGACCTGTAGACCCAGGAACAGCAACAGATTGCACATACTACGACACTGCTTATGACAGCTCCTATACCTGTGCATACTTCGAAGAGAGCTGGGGTCTCACCCACGCCGACTTCATAGACTGGGTGAATCCCATTCCCACATGCAATCTTTTCTCTACCCAATCCATTCTATCGCAACTACCCAACCCAAACTAACTAACCGACCCTCAGAACCCCTCCCTCAAATCCGACTGCTCCGGTCTCAGAATCGGCAACTCCTACTGCGTCGAAGTAAACTTCGGACTGCCCCGTCCCACCACAACCCTCAAACTCACCTCCACCTCCTCTAGCAGCACCCTCACCACGCCCATCCCAACCACAACCGGCACCCCCAAGCCCTCACCCACACAGCCCGGCCTCATCGAAGCCTGCACCACCTTCCACTACGCCGTTTCCGGGGATGACTGTTCTCTCATCGTCGCCAAGTATGGCACCTTCACCTTCGCCGACTTCCTCGCCTGGAACCCCGCGGTAGGGAGCGCGTGTACGGGGTTGTGGGCTTCGACTTGGTATTGTGTGGGGGTGCCTGGGACGCCGACTGTGAGGCCAACTAGCACTAGTAGTACTAGCACGAGTACGAGTGCATCGGGGCCGACGCCGACGCAGTCAGGGATTGTGGGGACCTGTTCGAGGTGGCATTTGGCGGTTAGTGGGGATGATTGTGAGGGGATTGTGAGGATGTATGGGACGTTTAGTTTGGGGGAGTTTTTGGCGTGGAATCCGAGTGTGGGGAGTAGTTGTGCGGGGCTTTGGTTGGGGTATTGGTATTGTATTGGTATGTTATGTTCGTGTTTTCCTCACTTATGTAGTAGATTGTTTCTCGAGTCTCTGCTATGAGATAGATGTTACTGTGGGGTTGTGAGTTAGACGTTAAATGATTAATTGCAAACACAGGTATTCCCGGGACACCAACAACCACATCCAGCACTATCACATCGACGACAGCAACTCCGACGTCAACATGTAATCCTTCGGCCCCAACACCAACTCAGCCAACAGCTATATGTGGGTGTAAGAAATGGCACATGGTCGCTAGTGGGAATTCGTGCGAGAGTATTGAGAAATTGTATGGCATCACGGCTGCCGATTTCAATAAGTGGAATCCAAATGTCGGGACCGCTTGTACGACACTTTGGTTGGGGTATTATGTTTGCGTCGGGGTATGAGAATGAGATAAGGTTGCGGAAAGTAAATAATTGGTATGAATTGTGTAGATCAAACTAGAGCTCATGACATTTTTAACATGGCGCCTGAGTACACATTCCATTCCCAAAAACCAATGCTCTGAACGCCTAACCTCGACGTACTCAAAAACAAATTGACCTGGCTACCAGTGTAAGTCAGACGTCCATCAATGTTATCATTGTCCAAAACATATTGGGTTCATCACCTGGCTGCAATTCGCAAGTATGATACACCTCATCATACATATCCACAAATTGCTCCTTGTGCCTAATCCTCATGCATTTCTTCTGACTTGTTTTCTTGTTTGACTTTTCCGCTTCCCTGCGTTGTATCCTGCATTTATGGATCTCGACACCTTTAAAACCGCAATCAAGGCAGTGAACGGCGGTTTCTCTACAAGTTTTTCTGGGCTTTGGATAGTTCTGTTTAGTGATATTGACGTGGAAGTTGAGTTATCGAATGGAAAGGGGAAAAGAGGTAGTGATAGAAGGTCTTACGGAACCATGGAGAGCGTCCATGGTTGATCATGAAAGATAATTTGATTCACGACCATTGTGAGTGTATGTCTACATTCAGACTTGCTGGGAGGATATAGATCACTGAAGTTGATCGGAGTCATCGGCTTTCACAGGTGATAGCACCAAAAATATTGGTTTCAAGTGGTAACCTGCCGTGAATCATCGCTTAGCAGACCAAAGAATTTGCTCAACGTGGATGTATCGAAACTTTGAAGTCGTAAATCATGATATTGTGAATAGTATCTGGAAATCGGAACAGGAGTATGAGCCAGAGTGTTTGTTCGCACAAATTCACCGATCCACAAGCCGAAGATCTCGGCACACAATGACAGAGTAGAAGCCTTTCGCTATCCTCATCCTTTTCGCTGAATATTTCATAAAAATTTCTTGTTTTCTTGCATCCAAAACATGCTCAAGATAAATGACAGTCACAAAGTTGAGGTTATGAAGAGCTTTGAGCTGTAGACGGTTTCAGCGCTTGCTATTATGGATGATGGCTCAGGTCCCATTTCTGCGTTGGCAAGAAGATCACGATCAAAATCAACGCTCTTGAAAATATGAAGAATGATGAGCAGGGAGATGGATAGTAGAGCCCAATAGTAACACGACCACGGAACTAAAGCCGGCTGGTTGCATGGATGAGAGCTAGTAGAGCTTGTTCTGCTTTATGATTCCGTCTATCGTGAAAATGCAAGGCTTCTCCTGTCATCAATCAGCACAACCAAAGGTTGACAAATCTTGGTAACCAGTGTGCCTTAGTATACTAACACGACAACGAGCAGACCACCTTGATAGTCACTTCCGCGGCACAATTCGCAGCGATGACGATTGCGAAAGGTGGGAATACCGGAGCATTATCCCCAAAAAAGAGGTAAATTGATGTTTCGTGTGGTTCAGATAGTTATAATTGTGAATTATAGCTGATATATGATAGGTAAGAAGAGGAAGGATTTGATTGCTGAGTTGGTGGTGGGGGAGAGGCCCAGTAAGGGCAGCTGGATCACTATACATGTATTGTCGCCTTCGAGTATAATTATATCACTTGGTTTTATGATTTATACGTGTATTATTCCTTCCATCCATGAATTTCCACCAACCCAGACGAAACATTCCCCACAAAGATGAACCAATACAAGCAAAGATAGGAATCGTAATCTAAGAAAAGAAAGTATTATATTTTGATGGGTCTATGCACGGATTCTGCAGATGAAGATAATTCTCAGTCGGAAATAGCTAGCAACTTGCCTTAATATTTTGAACTTATATTTGCTCGGTTCCACTCATATCTTAGCATTTGAATCTCCGCATCTACAGCAACATATGTGTAGAGCAAGAAGTTCGACGTACTGGATGCAACAAGTCAAGTATAAGCATCTTCATATACCCGAGACTGAAGAAATGGCAACTCAAGCACACAGAGATTGTCAGTCATAGGCTTTACCCTGAGTTCCGAAAATCTTGAAAGATTGAGGAGGATTGCGATATTAAACATCCTATTGGACTTAAATGGCTAAAGGATCGAGATAAATATAGAAGAGATGCAATCTATTATATTCGCCAGAAGTCGGAGAACCTTGGGCCGCACGAAAGATATACTCCTGCCCTCTTCAAGAAGCTTGCAAATGCATTGAAAAGCCCAGTACAAAATCAAATCTATAAAGCTCAAATCGCATTCTATAACATCAACCTTAAAAAGCGTCAATTGCAATATAGCCTTAAGAAATACACAAATGGAGGTTAGCGCTACAAGCAGGCATATACAAACAAAGAAATAAGATGAGTTAATAAGCACAAAAGGGTAGATTTTGATCAAAACCACCAGGACGATACCGTCGAAAGTTACTAGTAACATATCATATTCACAGACGAATTTCACCTAGATTTAAGCGCATAAAGGGTCGATGAGGTGCTTAGAGAGCAAGGAATCTGGGAAGATGCAGAAAATATCACAGAGCGATCTAAATATAATTATACAAGATGTTATAGAGTTTGCGTTAGTTTATATTGAAGGACAAGAGTATCTTCAATATATTTATATAGCAAAATTATTTGAAATTAATTGTTTTATATTTTTTGAATATTATAAATACAAATTGGTTCTTTGTAATGTAATCTATATTAATTTGTATTAATATTTTTTATTAAAATAAGAAAATATTTTAATTGATTAAATTAATAAATTAATATAAAGATTTATATTTTCTATAAATTATATAATAAAGAATTTTATAGAAAAAATAATAAATTATTTTGTAAAGAAGAATTGAATATTGAATTTTGTTAAAAGATATAAAAATCATTTTCAAAATTGATATTTTTGTTGTATTAATAATTTATATATAAAAGTTGGTAATTATAACAATCTGATCGAGGTAGCGACTGTCTGAGATTTGTATAGTTGATAGTTGTAGATTAAGGTTATTAATTATTAGTTATTTATTTGAAAATAAACTTGTTATTAGATTAAATAGAATATAAATAAATTAATTGATAATTAAATTGAATATAAAACTTCTAAATTATAAAACTATTTTGATTATATACTAATAAATGAAAAGAAGTTTTGTAAAATTCAAAAACTCTAAAAGATTTTTAAAGCTTTAAAAGCTTTTCAAACTTTTAGAGCTTCTTATTATATAATCAATCCTAAAACTTTTTCTTTTTTAAAATACTTATCTTAAAAGTTTTTCTTTAAAAATCTTTACTTTAGAATACAATATTCTTTAAGATAATTATTTTATTATAATTAATTAATTAAGATATTTATCTTATTCTAATATAATTATCTAGAATATTTATTCTAAGAATTTTGAATTTCTATTTGTAAACGATTAAACTCTTTATAACGATCTGGTCGAGACAGCGGCTGTCTGAGGTTTTGTATAATTGATAATTATAAATTAAGGTTATTAATCATTAATTATTTATTTGAAAGTGAATTTATTATTAGATCAATCAAAATATAAATAAACTAATTGATAACTAAATTGAGTATAAAGTTTTTAAATGATAAAACTATTCTGATTATATATTAATGAATAAAAAGAAATTCTATAAAATCCAAGAGCTTTAAAAAGCTTTTAAAGCTTTAGAAGCTTTTCAAGCTTCTAAAACTTTTTATTATATAATTAATCCTGAAGTCTTTTCTTTCCTGAAACATTTATTTTAAAAGCTTTCCTTTAAAAACTATAGTCTTAGGATATGATATCCTTTAAAATGATTATCCTATTACAGCTAATTAGCTAGAACACTTGTTCTATTTTAATATAATTGCCTAGGATACTTATCCTACGAATCCTGAGGTTCTATTCGTAGATGATTATGCCCTTTAAAAGCAACGGTTAAATCACACCCTCTTTATAATCAGTATATGAATCACCGACATCAATAATACTATTATAATCTAAACCGTGAATCGTGACACCCTTTGAAAACAATAATTAAATCACATCTTTTTAATAATCAGTATTTAAATCACTGACATCAATAATACTATTATAATCTAAATTGTAAATTGTGATAATAATATTGATATATTTAAATACTTTTATAATTTAATTTATATTATTTTATATTATTATTATGATATATTATTTAAAAGATTTTTGTTAATTTTTTTTTTAATTGATAAATATGATTATATAATATGATATATCCTTGAAAAATATATATAATTAAAATAAAAAGAGTTTTATAACTGATTTTGAAAAAATTATAAAAAGAATTATAAATATTAATATATATAAAAGAGATAAAGTTATAAAAGTTAAATAAAATAAATTAAGAGAGTTTATTTTTTAATATATATATAAATAATAAAATTATATTATTTATTTTATTTTATAAAGAAGAATTAAGAGATTTATAAAATATATAAATTAATAAAGTAAAGATAAAAAATAAAGTTTATTTCGAAGTTTTAATTAGAAGATAATTATTGAATATATTTAGTTTTATTTGACTTATAAAGGTTTTTCAATGTTATATATATTTAAAAACAAACAAAAGATATTATTTATTTATTATAAATAATCATTTTAATTATATAAATATGAAATCTATCTCAAAATATAAAGAATTGAAGATTATAATATTAATCTTATCTTTTTATTTTATGCATTATTTATAATTTTTCGATATTAATTAAAATGTTTTTTTTTTAAAAATTATAATATAGAGTTGAATATATTTATATATAATAAAAAAGATATCATTAAAATATCCAAAAAAAAAAATTGTTTATTCTTTAAAAAATCTTAGGTTCAATTTTATATTATATATAATATTTTAAAACCTTTTAAAAAATCGAGCATTTATTTTATAAATAAGAATACAACAATCTTAAGTATCACTTTTGAGAATATTTTTATATCAAAGGCCTGCGCCCCCCAGACCCCTGGCTTTTCGAGAAAGTCTAATGAAAATTTAAGTTTTAAAAAGTTTATGATAAATTAAAATATTTAATATATATCAGAGTGTAGGTAAAATATCGA